ATACCTTGACCAGCTGAGAGATCAGAAGAGACTCACTGAACCAGTATGGTAGGAGATAGAAATAGTGACCAAACAATGGGTAGACAACCTGGCCCATACACAAGCATCTTGGAATCATGACAAAACAACCAAGCAGGTGACAGAAAACAATACAGCTGCACAAAGACCATACAAAAGGCTTCTCCAGCAATTGGAACAAGCAGTTTCAGAGGATGTATGACCTCCAGCAAAAGTGCCTGGCTGAAGAAATATTAGATGGCCGGGATGCTATCAGGTGTAACCTCAAAGAGGAGGAGGTCACAGGCCACTTCAATCAGGTCTACGGTGTTCCAAATGATAGCTTTTCTTGATGATTGCCACAGACCACAAGGAGCTAACAACACCAACCTCCTGAAACCGTTTACTCTCGAAGAAGTGAAGCTCTCACTTCAGTGCATGAAGAACGGGGCAGCTGGACCCAACAACATCACTCTTCCATTCCTACAAAAACGTTTGAAGTGCGGTCTCGATGTTTCCTTGACAAATGTGTTTAACCTCTGGCAGTTCTCAGGTCACATCCTTGAGTGCATGAAATCTAATACATCAATGATCATCCCAAAAGGGAAGAGTGATCTGCGTGATGTCAAAAAGTGGCGGCTAATCAAAATCTCATCAGTTGTGTTGTGGCTATACTCCAGGAATTTAGCACACCATCTCGAGCAGGTGGTGCAGATAAACACCCGACAACATGGCTTCATCCCTAAGGCTGGATGTAGAGATAATTTATTTCTACTACAGTCTGCTATTAGGAGGGCTAAACAAAGGGAAATGCTGGCTATAGGGTTTCTTAGTCATTTGACACGTTTGATCACAAACATTTTATGGCCAGCCTGGAAAGATTTGCTATCCACCCACAGTTCATCCAAATCGTGGAGGATATGTATACTGGTGGCTTGACGTCCTTTTGGGTAAGCATCCAGTCTACTCGCCCCATCATTCTGATGAAAGGCATCAAGCAAGGTGATCCTATGTCTCCTATACTTTCAACATCACTCTGGACCCTCTCCTACGTCATTTGGAAGAGGAGTGTCGATGCTTTATGTTGGGGTAAGGGCAAGTTCCTGTCTCAACCCTAGCATATGCTGATGATATAGCATTACTGACTAAAGATCATGCCAGCCTCTAGTCAATGCTGAATGTAGTGGAGAAATATTGTTCAGGAAACAGCCTTGGTTTTAACATCTCCAAAAGTTCCAGAATGCTGATAAGGGAGTCAAATAAGACCTTCACTATTAACAATTGTCCCTCCTGGACAGTCAATGATGAAACACTCCTGATTATCAGTCCTGAACAATCATACTGTTATCTAGGTGCTATCATCTGTCTGTGGACTGGGGTTAACAGCGAGCCTGTCAAACCCATCCTGGAGAGATGGATCGACCAAATTACAGAGACACCCCTCAAGCCACATCAGAGGTTCAAAATACTCTATAAATACACTGTGCCCAGGCTATTTTACCAACTTGAGTTGGGCAAACTGATCCTGAGTGACTTCAGGGAACTAGACAACCTTGTCAAAAAGGCCATCAAGCATTGGTGTCACCAGCCTGCCTGTACGGCTGATGGTCTGTTGTACTCATGGCATTGCAATGGGGGTTTAGCTATCATAAAATTAGTCTTTTGTTCCTTTGTTAAAGAAAAAAACGTATGAGGCTTGTGCACTCTAATAACCATGTGACATCATATTTGGCAGAAAAAGATGGTTTGTTGGGAGCCGTTGATGGTATTGCTCAAAAGGCTCGACTTCCGATACCTACACCTGACCAGCAATCTGGAACATATTCCAAATGGAGAGATGTGGAAAGGAGAAACTGGGAAAGGCTGGCCCTGCAAGGGCAAGGTGTGGAACTCTTCAAGGGCTCAAGATCTGCCAACCACTGTTTGCCCAATACAGTTGGTATGAAGGCCCACCACTGGGTGAAGTGTCTAGCTTTGTGAGAAAATTTATACCCTATCAGGGAGGCCCTATGTCATTTAAGTGGTCAATACCCCAAATTGAAACGTTGAGAATATCACGTCACAACAAGATCTGTGACCACTTGATCTCGGAGGTGAGTCACAAAGGACGGAAAGTTCTCCAAGCACCAACCATCGTGACAAACAGTGACGAGTGTCGGCGGCCAGATCTCATCTTCCATTGTGATGATAAAGCAGTTGTTGTTGATGTGACAGTTCATTACAAACTCACGAGTGAATCACTGAAAGAAGCTCCACAAATAAAAGAACTTACAGGGGCTACCTCCATTGTTTTTCACAGTCTCCCTATAAGTGCCCATGCTGGCTGACCTGGATATCAGGTCCAAGTACTTTGAAGAGTTCTTGTGTAGGTGTACCATCCTCTACACACTGGACCTGTTTTGGAAGTCAAATAACGAAACATGTTACTATTCAGTATGTTATTGGTGATTTCTCCACAGCCTCCTACTATGGCTAGCTGTGATGATACACAACATCTTGTCATTTCATGTAGAAAACACCCGGCATCTACCGGTGGCATTGACCCTGACGTAAAATTGTGTAATTGAAAATTACATGGGAGTAGACCTAAATATCGCTTGCATGTAAACATTTATTTTATTATCTTAAACATTTTTTTCCTTCAACAATCATGAAAAATACACAACATTTAATCACCAACACTTCAAGGAACTACTTAATCTCACCCTCAAGGACAACCACTTCATTTTCAACGGTAAATTATATGACCAAATAGATGGTGTGGTGATGGGGTCAAATTTAGGACCGACCCTTGTCAACATATTTCTTTTTCATTATGAATGCTCCTGGCTAGACACCTGTCCAGCAGAGTTTAAACCAATATTTTATAAAAGGTATGTTGACAATATATTTCTCCTCATTAGAAACCATAATCACATCAAAATGTTTCTGGACTACCTAAATGCTAAGCACCCAAACATTAATTTTACCTGCAAGATTGAAAAAAAAGGGTAAACTACCATTCCTCGACGTCTTAATTAAAAAATTAGATAACCAGTTTACAACTTCTGTCTATCGTAAGGAAACATATACAGGACTACATACTCGTTTTGATAGTTTTATTCCTAACTCTTTTAAAAGTAACCTCATCCTAACTCTCCTCAATAGAGCATACAACATCTGTTCTAACCATTTCTCTCTCCATACCGAAATCACTACCCTACAAAACATCTTAACAAATAATGGTTATCCACTCCATTTTACCCAAGCTATAACAAACAAGTTCCTTTCTGAAAAACATGAACCCTCCAAGAAACCACCCACTGTTAAGAAATTCCAATTACGTCTGGTCACTCCATTCCTAGGAAATCAATCTTACATAATGAAGATCCAAATTGTAAGAAATTAAAAAAAAAAACACAAATTGAACTACAAATGATATTTAAAACACCCTTTAAAATATAAAACTTATTTAAAACAAAGGACTGCTTACATACCCCCATGCATTCAAAACTAATCTACAAATATACATGTTGTGGCTGTAATGCCACTTACATTGGTAAAACCACATGCCAATTACACTTACGAGTTTGTGAACATATGGGAATATTGAGTAGGACTGGTAATAAACTATCAAATCCACCTGATTCACAAGCTCTGATTGGCTGTTGATGACACCACAAGAAAATCTGGGATGTGATTGGTGGGCCAAAACCTTCAGCTATGAACTATAGCTTGTTTCGCGAGCATTAGATTTTGGAATAGATATCAAGAACAGACTTTATATTATCTATTGATGGAAATTTTTTGTCAAAATTTAGTGTTATTTTTTCAAATATAAGCGTATTTAAAAAATATATACAGTTATATACCAGTAAGGTAACGTATCATATCCATGCATTCATAATTTTATAACAGTAAAAGAAATGAAAGTTTTCGGAATATAATTTATTACACATATTTTCTCAAACTGTTTTATGTATTTGTGCATGCAACTGATATCAGGCAATTACAGTACCATAGGTCCGGAACTTTATACACGTCCAGTACGAGATCAACCTTCGACAAGGTCACACCACATGCTAGAAGCATTCTGAATAAACAGTGACATCCAAACATTAAGAGACTGGTACCAGTGCGCAGGGTTTATATGTCTGTACGATTCCTGAACGTTAATACTCAATTGTATTAACTACATCAGTGAGAAAAATTCATGTTATATATCTGATCATATGATCCCCTGATAATTATGGATCGGTGGTTAAAAACTGGAAGCAAGTTAAAACGAAAAATAGTGATAACACAGGTGAAGGCGCAACATGTTCAAATGCAAAAACTGTAAATATTGTGATGAATACACATCCTTTGGATTTATATGCAGAGGCCATGAAGGTGAACAGAAGCCACTGTGTGTTCTCTGTTATGAAACATTGTCCAATGAAAGTATGTCCAAACTTCGCCAGCATTTAGAAACAAAACATAAAGAACACATCAACAAACCTGTTGAATATTTTAAAGAAGACGGCAAGAACTGCTTTCAAGACAAAATTCAATAGAAAAAATAGCAACTGGGTGTGATAATAAAAATGCTGTGTTTGCTTTGTATGATGTGTCTTAATAGCAAAGAGTGGAAAACCACACACAATAGCAGAGGGACTAATTCTACCTGCTGTCAAAGCAATTGCCTCTAAAATGCATGGAGACAAAGTAGCAAAGAATTATGATATGATTTCATTATCAACCACCACTGTGAAGCGGTGAATAGAAAACATGTCTGATAATGTTAAAAAATCAGCTAGTGAAAAGAGTGCTTAAAAGTCAGTATTATTCTTTACAATTAGATGAAAGTACGGATGTTTCTAACAGTGCTGATTTGATTGCATTCATACAGTAAGAATTTGATGGTACAATTAGTGAAGATTTTCTGTTTTGTCAATTATTGCCAACACATACTACTGGTGAGTCTATTTTTAATAGTTTGAATGATTTCATAATTGCAAATGAAATTGGGTGGGGCTCCTGCAATGTCAGGAAAGTACAGAGGACTCAAGGCAAATATACGAGCTATAATACCAAATGTCAAATGGACTCATTGCTGCATATATAGAGAATCATTGGCAGCAAGACAGATGCCAGGAAAATTGAAGAGAACACTGGATGAGGCAGTGAAAGTAGTTAATATTATAAAAGCTCATCCTTTAAATTCCTGTATTTTTAGTGTTCTTTGTGAGGAGATGGGCAATGCCCATGAACAACTGCTCTTGCATTCTCAAGTGCGTTGGCTGTCTCGTGGTAAAGTACTTACCCGCATATTTGAGTTGCGTGATGAAATACGATTATTTCTTCATGATAAATCATTCCATGGGAGAGTGGTTCAATATATGTCTGACATTTTTACATATTTGAATGGCCTAAATTTGAACCTACAAGGGAGATCCATAACTATTTTTAAAGATGAAGATAAAGTGGAAGCCATGATCATGAAATTAGATTTGTGGTCTGAACGTCTGCAGAGCGGTGTGTTTGAATCCTTTCCGACACTCTGTGACTTTCTTGCAGTGTCTGATGATGACTTCTCTGAAGAAATAAGAAACCTTTTCATTCAGCACTTGCAAGGTTTGAAGAACAGTTTTAGGGATTATTTTCCTCTTCCTGATGCCAATAACAAGTGGATTAGGGATCCATTTCATGTAGATGTAAAAAATGTAAAAGATTTAACTTCAAATGAACAAAAGTCTTGTTGAACTATTGTGCAGCACTTCACTGAGGTCAAGTTTCATTCAGTACGACTTATCACACTTTTGTTTACATGTGAAAAATGAGTACCCAGAACTGGCATCCAAAGCACTGAGATATTTAATGCCATTCCCCACTACATATTTATGTAAGCAGACTTTCTCTCAGCTGTTTTACATAAAATCAAAATACAGACACAGGATGAATGTGGAACATGATCTACACTTAAAACTGTCTGCCATTGAACCTGAAATTTGAACATAGTATCAACAAAGCAGCATCAACCATCTCATTAAACAAGTAAGTTTTTTTTAAATACTGCCATTTAGTTAATTGAATATTCAGTTACATACATGTATATCTTTCAATTGAGAGATGAAACTGGGAAAACGAGTTTGTTGTTAGTTAATAAAATCATCTTGTTGAGTAGTCAGGCCTTTCAAAAGCCCGAAGTCCGTGGGAAAATTCATTTAAATAAAAGGGGTCCTTGGTATTGAAAAGGTTGGGAACCACTGAACTAGACTTTTGCGACAGGACCTTTGAAGAATGAAAATGTGTCTCTTTGATCTCGCCGAGCATATAGAATTCCACCACATCTGACCAGTGCCACCGACAATGGGCATTTTCAAGAATGGTCAGTTCCATCCCCATCCCGGACCTACCAAACACTACCTCACTTGAGGGGGCCGGCAACCCCACCCAGGAGAAGCACATGGAGCAACTACGAAACTACGTGGCAATACTCTAACTTGCCCTAACTGTTTCAACCACCAACATGTCATCGCAAGAATCCTCATCTTCAAGATCCTCAACACCTAACCTTCTACGCCTCATTTATGTGCTGCAAGTAAGGCCTGTACCTGACACTGAATACTACGACCCAACATAGTTAACAGCCTAGATCAATTATCCAATGTTACTCAGTATAGGTAATGTTTTAAATTCCAGATATAAATCAAGTGTTTCAGTACCAACAGTAAAGTCAATATTTAAAGTTAAAAATATTCTCTCATTGGATTATGTATTATTATATAGAGTTAAAATTGTAAAACGTATTAGTTATCACTGAGGTACTGGAAAATATTTAAATATATATTCTCCAGTATCTAGAACTTTTAGAGCAAAATCTGCGAAAGACGACATGTTACGTAGGTTAAAATAAGGTAAATTTTAGGTAGGATTGAGTAAAGCGTGTTGCCCACAGAAACACGCCGCGTTCACCAGAAAAAACTACCACAACTCAGGAAGCCACTCACGGTAAAGATAATAATATTAATAGCCAGAAACAAGCCTCCATGTCCTTAAGACAACCTCACTATCTAAAAACACACCTATCCCACCAGCAATTATAGCAGAAGGTATTCCACTTTCATACAGTCAGCCATTAAATAGCCGCAGAGCTTTGACGAATATTCCCATCATTGGAATTTTCAAACGTAAGACGATTACCCAAATGGAGACATTAGGCATTAAACAAATAAAACACTAAACAGTAATCATGGGGAGAAACTACAGCAAGAAAACACAATGAAAAGAAAAAAAACGAAAAATCAGTAATATGAACGTATTAAAAAATGT